GGTGCATTCATCTGTTGAAAGTGTTTCTCATATGCAGCCACACTTTGGAGATCATGAAAGGGCTTTGGTGGAAGGGATCAGGGAGCCTCTTATATTAACTTTCTTTCCTTCTTCTCATCCCCAGCAGTACAGACATGACAATGCCTCTCCTAATTTAATAAATCCCAGAGATTATTAATCCTGAGAAATCAGTGTAACACAATAATTTATGATTCTTATGGCAAAAGAAAACCTCTTCTAGAAAAAGGATGTTCAATACCATTAGCCATTAGGAAATGCAACTTAAAACTGTGATGACATACAACTACACAACAACTAGAATGGCTGAAACAAGAACTACTGCTAAAACCAAGTGCTGATGAGTACGCACATTATCTGGAGTTCTTGTACCATGCTGGTAGGAATGCAAAATTGTACATAGGGACATTCTGCAGAAGTTTGTCAATTGCTTATGAAGTTAGACAGATGCTTACAAAAAAAAAAAAAAAATCCCAAAACAACAACAACAACAACCAAGGAGGATTTGTTTTAAGAGAGGGTATTTGAGTTGAAACTGATATCTTTCAAATCCTGGGGAGTGCTAGTCAGTAAAGAAGACACTAGAGACTGGGGATTCTCTGGTGATCCTCTAGAACCCAGAGCAGATCTGCCATTGAAGGTGCAGGGGGCCTAACCATATGGTCCTCACAACTGTCTTGGAAGCCCAGGGGTGGGCCCCAACTCTCTATAGCCCACCACCTGTTGATTCTCGAGTCTTTACCAGTTGATTCTCCCTGCTGCCTGCAGTACATCACCAGTTGATTCTCCAGTCCTCACCTCTGTCCCAATATTTGTCTACAAGTGCAGATTGGTAGTATTCAATCTTCTTTTCCAAATTTCTAATGTAAGGGGATGTCTTCCAATGGGGAAGCCATACAGGGAACCATAGAAGGAAAAGGAGTTCTGGGAAATGTTTTTTCCGGAAATGATGATGATAGATAGTTGAATGCCTCCTGTCATTGTCACTATATCCCCAAACCTCAGCACTTTGCTAGGCAGGGGGTAAATTTAGTATACACTTGGATTAGGTTCCAAATATTATCAACAAGGCTGGGATCACAGAAAAAATCATTATTTCATAGAATAAACAAAAACAGGTCAGTAAAATGCTTAAAATATGTAGTGATAATTTTTAAAACAAGTAGAAAGCCTTTCTTGATAGAACAAATAATCATACAGACACACACAAAAAAATCTAAATGAGCATGCA